CCCCAAAACCCCAAAACCCCATTTCCCTATCTTAAAAAGATAATATTAAAATAAGAAATAGTAATTTTAAATTTATTTCCTTAAGTGAATGCTAGTTCTGAATCATTTTTCAGCCAATCAACTCATTGTTTCTAAGTTAAATTCAAAATATCTGATAGATCATCATTAATCCTGAGCTTTTCAAATAGTTGATCAAATTCTTCAGATGACTTAATTTAAACTAGTTATTATTCTTTATCCATTATATTAATATGAAATTCTCCATAAAAATCAGGGTTAATAGGCATTCTCTTTAAGTTAACTAAACCTTTTGGTAAAAACTTAACGAGATTTATGCCTGAATCTCGCTTCATTTGAATTTCCGAAGCTTGCTGTTCATCATTTAAAATTTTACCTTAATTAGAAATTATATCAAGAGCTTACTTGATGGTCAGTTGTTTCTGCTAAGGATATTAAAATTTCATTTAAGTATGCTAATGACCATCACTTCCTGAATAATAAATCTCAAATTAATCCTCAACTTTGTTTATAATGAATCTTTAGTTTTTACCAATCTAATAAACTCTTTCTCCTTATTCATTTTATAGTGGGATTGGATATCTGGCATTTTTTTGCATTAAGCCGAAATCAACCAAGAAATTCTTTGTCTAGTTTCTATGTCCTTAGAATTTGACAATGAGAACCAATTGATTAGTTTCCTCTTCTTAGTCTAATTTTCTTTCTTCCAAGGTATTTTAATTTTGTTTATCTTAAATTTCTGATGATTGATCGAAATTTGTTGCTTTAATAATCTCAACTTCAAAGTTAAGTTGCTTTAAAACATAGTAAAGAAGAACTGTATGCTCAATGATTGATCCAATATTAAACTTCTCTTTGTCTTCAATTAAACTCCTTACTAATGAGTAGAATTCATAATCTTTATTTTGATGTGTTATAAGATCGCAAAGAGGAAATCTTTCTAGATGTTTCATCTGGATCATTAATAGAGAGCCTAAAGATGGATCGATCTTAAGGTAATCAGGAATTCCTAAAGCCTCTAGATATACACTTAAAGCTTTCTAATTTTCTTGACACTCATGTTAGAAATTTGAAAAGACATCTAAACCATCTTTCAAGCAGTCTCTAAGGTACATAGTCAATAATTTCTTGTCTATTTTAGTTACGATGTTGACTTTTTGTAGATCCTTAATGTTGTAGAATTCAATCCAATTTATCGCAACCATTCCTCTTGTAGATTCATCTTTATCATCATATATTTTGCATTACTTTTACTCATAGTCAAGAACAATTCTTGGATCTAATGCTACCGCAACAGCAACTTGATCACAGATCGTATATCTTTTAACTTTTTTAAAAGCCTAGCTGTTAGATTATCTTATAAAGTTTGCCAATTTAGTATTCTAGCCATAAATAGCAGCTTAATCTTCATCACTCATATTGTTATAGTAATCATAGCATAGATCGAAAGAAATCAAAGTGATATTTTTTGCTTTTTCAAAGATTTGCTTAGCAGCATTTGGATCCACATGAAAATTATACTCAGATACCCAATTTGGTGCATTTCCAATACCAGAATGAGTTCCTCCCATTACTACAATGTTCTTGAGCTTATCTAGAAAGTCTGGCATCTAAATAAGAGCATTTTGAATGTTGGTGAAACAGCCCACACAAATAAGGGAGATCTCATTTGGAAATAGATTAACTTATTCAAGGAGGAATTCAATGGCTGTTTGCTTGGATAAATGCTTATCGCCTATCTCACCATAGATTTCTTGATACTTGCTTTGATAACCACCAAATGAATCTTTACCGAAAAATCCATCTTATATGTGCAAAATATCATCTCTCTGAGTTCCCTTATGAACTAAAAACCCAGTTTCACCATGGATATCAATTATAATTTATGAGTTTTTTGTCACCATGTCTACAGTCTGATTTCCTCCTCCTGTTGTCAATCCGAGTATTTGTACATTGAAAGCTTTTGATAAATATTATGCAAGGAGAATAGCATGTGCGTCATCTCCACCTGGGTCGCAATCAATGATAACTTTGGTAGCAAAACCTTAGATTTTTTCAAACTCTGGCTTTTGACTGTCTGTATGATCCATGTAAAAATATCTTTAGATAAATTAATGTTTCACCTTTAATATTTAATAAGTATTAGGATAAAATTATCCCATTATTGAAAATCTTTAAATTTGAAGCTAAATTTATCATAATTATGTTTTAAACTATAATAACAAGATAATAAATATTGGCAAGATGGGGTTTTGGGGTTTTGGGGTTTTGGGG